AACGTATTAGTTGTATGAATTAATTAAGAAAAACAGTCTTCCTCAATTCAAAGCATGCAATTGACTCTAAAGTACAAACATCACCTTCAATGTATACTCATCGCTATACATACATATATTATGAATATTCACATCAGATGTTTCTTTTTTATGCATTTGATTGGTAAACAAGTTCATGCAGACTGAATAAAAACTAGAATTGTTTCCTAATTAAGTAAGAAAACGTGTATCATAGTAATGGTAATAATAATAACAATAATAATACTTAAGTAACGTCAATATTAGATACAGTCCAATTGAAAATCATAAATGATTAAGATTAACACAAAATGCAAAAAGAGACGTAACAATTCTTTATGTTCCATGTATAAACAATTAAAAGAATTTCTTTATATTCGGTTGGTAATCTGAAAAATTTTTGTCGTTGACATATTATCTTAAGGATTAAATTTGTTAATCCTTTCGTCATGATTTATGTAACAAATTTTATCATTTGAAGTTTGGCTCATAGTTTATCCTTTATAAATAAAATTATAACACAGAATTTAAAAATATAAAAACACATGATTCGCAAAAAACTTTCTGTATTGTAGTATCCTTTCTCGGTGACGAGTTATGTTATAAAAGCCTCAATTTAAATAACAAATTTTACTACAATAAATAATCTAGTTTACAATTTTTTTATTTATGATGGTTTTTAAGAGCTTTTAAATTTGGTATCGTCTAAGTTTCTTGACTTAAGTTTTCTAGAAACTAAACAATTGTAAGAGTTAAAGAAACAAACGAATAGCTCAATTTTTTAAAATTATTTATTGAATACTTCTGTCATGATTATACATAATGTCTAATACGTCACGAAGAAATTATTTTAAATTAGTTGTACCTGTTTTACAGAGTGTATACACACCTTTGCACTTATAGATTCAAATGGACTATGTTCTAATCAACTATGAAATTGCTCACTCCACACATACTCAGTAACATAATTGATGTGTTCGTGAAAGCATTATAATAAAATTCGTGTTCGATAAATAGCGATTAGTCCTCGTTAAAAGGGATCAATATTTGTTAGAGGGTAGTTTATAAAAGAAGGTATAAATACTTGATGTACCCACCATGACATTTAATTTTTTACAAACTTTTTACTGGCTCTTGGTAATTAGGTATCTTACATAAAATACTACTAGTATCTAGCAATTATTAATAATAAAAAGATGGACAACATTTAGTAATAAAAGAAAATATGGACGTGTTTCGGGTTTTTTAGTTGGTTTCTTCTATTCTACAATACACCTTACATAGTAGAACGTAAGTTGAATGTGTGCAGTTATTTATGTATATTTTTGTTAATATTTTCGTGCCATAAGATGATGTTGTTAAGTGGTCTGTATATAATTAATGATTGTTTGTTAATATTCTTTAGAAGTTGGCTGTAGATGTTTTATTTATTCTAGCGTTACTCAATGGATATTTTATTTAATATATTCATTATTGTTCCATTTGCTTATACGCGATATATTAAATGAAACTAGAAACAAGTTTTTGTTGTTTATTACCTTAAAAATTTTGTAAAAAGAATAATCATTCAACTTAATAAGCGCACAAGAGTAATGGTTAAATATGCATCAAAATTAAGCAACTATTTTTGCCCAGAATGCGGATACGTAAAAAAGAAGTTATTTTTATTTATCCGATCGTTTGATTCACAGACAAATAATTATTTTCTTCTCGGTTGAAGGTTAACTAGTTTTAATGTAATTAATGTGGTTTACCGCCTGTTGTCATAGTCAACGTGTAAACAATATTGTGTTCTGATTTTATCGGGGAAAATGCATGCCTAAAATGCACTTTTGATATCAGCCGGAATCCAAGGTTTTGTAATAGGTGCATTATAATAATCAATTAATTTCTTCTTGTGTCGGCTAGGAAAGTTGGAAATCGTAAAATACTTTCGGTTACAGTGAAGTGCTATAAAGGTAACAATATAGTAAACACTATGGAAGGTAGAAATATTGTGAAATGTGCTAATACTTAACTAAACGAAAGCAAAAACTATGTATGGTTTCACGAGACCGTTACCAAAGGGTAGAATAAATTGTATACTAAGGGATTAAAACGACGACTCTATTTATAGTTAAAAATAACAATTAATCTTTTCAGTCACAAGGGTATGTGTTCTTTGATTCTCACATTAATACCTCTCCCACTTTACCCAATGTAGAAGGCATCATAAGTTTTACACTGAATTCTGTAAAAAACACATTTTTTGAAAATCCCTACCCTTAGTTAATATTTTCATAGTTACATTAGTTGTTTTATCTCTTCCAAACAAGTTTTACCAATACATAAATTGTATAATAAGTGACATGTATTTTTTATTTGCTTTGACGCTAAAAGCTTATCTATAACAGATGGTTTAAAACCATTATTTACTGCTATATGTTTTGCAATATTAATCTCTTTTATGAAATTAACGTCGATAAAATATTCTTTTAATCTTTTTAATACCGAATGAAGAACTGAAAATAATTGTCGCGTGACGGAAGCTTTATAGGATTTACTGATAACTATTTCAGTTATAACATCAGATACATCAGAATTAGGATTGTACGTGTTTACTAATTACAAAAACTCAACCGAGATTGATAACACGCACCTAGTCAAATTGCATATATCTTTCTTCAGTTACTTTAGATTGTGTGGCTAAGTAGAGGCACAATTCTAACCCTATAGGGGTAAATTTAATGAGCATATCTAAAGATATTACGCGGTTTTTATTGATCATGACAGTTTTAAAATGTTACTATTCGATGTAACACGAGCTAACGTCTACATTAACGTATTGATTATATAAAATATTAATAGCTGCCCCTTTTAAGTTAAAGTGAGCATGATATTACACATTAATTGATGCTAAAAAGGATTCTCTTTACCATCATATGTAAAAAGACAATAAACTCACAAATTGACTAACGATAAGTATTGAAAACAAACAAAAATTATTGGTTGAAATTCGTCACCAAAATAGAAAATGATAGGTGCACAAAATTTATAAATTTCTTTGTTGAAATTAGTGTTCTATTTCGTTATTCATTTATATGAACACACATTTAAAAATCATTTAAGTACTAATAAAAAATGATTTAGTTCTTATATTTGTTGCATAACGTATTTACGAAAAATATTAAAATGCTTATTCTATCTNATCAAACAAATAAAATTAAAATTTTCTTTTGAAAAGTGAAACCATTCCATCAGTATTTTCTTATGACGTTGTCACGTTCAACTATCGTCAGTAAACCGACTTTACAGACAACCGATTTTTTTTATTTATTTACGTTTCGCCCAGCACGCGACTGGGCTCTCTCAAATAGAAACAAAAAGAAAGTGCTTTGATTTCAAACCGAATTGTAAAATAAGGGAAGAATGGTTAATATCATGAAGGGGTAAACTTACTGTATGTAATTGTATCGTTCTATAAATTAAAAACGTAAACAGTATACTTTTAATTACGTATTACTTATATGTTATAAATTCTCTTCTTCAGGTTCTTCTATAATTGTATTGAAATAATTGTTGTGGTTTTAAATAAAGTTTTGTAACTTTTCATGTGTTTACTTTGCGTGAAATATGTAGCTACAAGTAAATAATGTCTCATCGATATCATTCGTTTCTATTTTTGTTTCAGCTTTTGGTATTGGCAGCATGATATATTCTGGGCTGGAGTTTGGACAATACTTCGAACTCGAAAGAAACACAAAATGCCATAACGTCCTCCTTGCTCTCACTCCTGCCACACGAATGGCATTTATTTTTATACAGATGTATTTTATATTCCTAAACAACGAAGTAAGTATAATAAAAAATGTTAGGTCCCCACAGAGTTAATAACAACGTTCTTATACATATGTGCAAAAAGCAATACTTAATTTAGAAAATTACTGACATTCGGAAAGCAGTTTTTGAGACTAAATAAAAATAGTGTTAAATTGTGTTTTGAGTAAGATAATACGGTAAAAAGCAACGGGAACCTCTTCTTTCACTTATTATTATTTTTAGGTTGTTTTATTCGGAACACTTACTAATTATNGTATGTGTTCTTTGATTCTCACATTAATACCTCTCCCACTTTACCCAATGTAGAAGGCATCATAAGTTTTACACTGAATTCTGTAAAAAACACATTTTTTGAAAATCCCTACCCTTAGTTAATATTTTCATAGTTACATTAGTTGTTTTATCTCTTCCAAACAAGTTTTACCAATACATAAATTGTATAATAAGTGACATGTATTTTTTATTTGCTTTGACGCTAAAAGCTTATCTATAACAGATGGTTTAAAACCATTATTTACTGCTATATGTTTTGCAATATTAATCTCTTTTATGAAATTAACGTCGATAAAATATTCTTTTAATCTTTTTAATACCGAATGAAGAACTGAAAATAATTGTCGCGTGACGGAAGCTTTATAGGATTTACTGATAACTATTTCAGTTATAACATCAGATACATCAGAATTAGGATTGTACGTGTTTACTAATTACAAAAACTCAACCGAGATTGATAACACGCACCTAGTCAAATTGCATATATCTTTCTTCAGTTACTTTAGATTGTGTGGCTAAGTAGAGGCACAATTCTAACCCTATAGGGGTAAATTTAATGAGCATATCTAAAGATATTACGCGGTTTTTATTGATCATGACAGTTTTAAAATGTTACTATTCGATGTAACACGAGCTAACGTCTACATTAACGTATTGATTATATAAAATATTAATAGCTGCCCCTTTTAAGTTAAAGTGAGCATGATATTACACATTAATTGATGCTAAAAAGGATTCTCTTTACCATCATATGTAAAAAGACAATAAACTCACAAATTGACTAACGATAAGTATTGAAAACAAACAAAAATTATTGGTTGAAATTCGTCACCAAAATAGAAAATGATAGGTGCACAAAATTTATAAATTTCTTTGTTGAAATTAGTGTTCTATTTCGTTATTCATTTATATGAACACACATTTAAAAATCATTTAAGTACTAATAAAAAATGATTTAGTTCTTATATTTGTTGCATAACGTATTTACGAAAAATATTAAAATGCTTATTCTATCTCATGATTAATCTTTACCAGTAAAACCCGCTTTAAATCTGATATCTGTAAATTGTCAAGCAGGTATTGACTCTCAATACCTGCTAATCGCGTATGTATTTACCTACTGAAGGTTTGACTAAATCCTTTTACAAAAAAATACCATACCTACTTAATTAAATTGTTTGCGAAACCGGACAAAAATTTAATTTTTTAACTGTTTTAAACGGAAAATCTTTTCTTCGGCAAAAAAGGCAAACATAATTCAAACTATGAATTTGTGCAGATTTTCTGCTACATTACCGGACCTATCAGCTTTTGGTTCTTGATTTTACTCGTTCGGATGATAAATCTGTTCCTGTAGTGATTGATAATCCTTGCCGCTGGCAATCAATCAATAGATAGGCAATTTATAAATATTTACCGTTTATCCGATTCTAGCAAAATCATGACGCCTAGTGTAATAGTTCTTCCTGTATACAAGCGTTAAATGATGCTCCAATTATACTTTTGTGAGAGGTTGTAAAAAAGTCGTTAAACCACTGGTTATTTTCTGTGTCTAAAAGTTGCATAATAATACACATACGGATGTGCTTCAAAAGAAAAACATGTTTTCGTATTACAGCTAATACATTTCACTTAATTAGTTTATATTTTAGGTAATGGAAAGATGAAATGGTTTCGCTGATTTAAAAATGATTACTTAAGTGTTGTCTTTGTAAACAAATTAATATCGGTGTATGAATTGATAGAACGGCAGTATTATAGGAAAATATATTTTCAATAATGCAAATCAGCATTGCTCTCGATTGATTAAATTTATAATCACATTTAGTCTCACATCGTTACATTTCATTATTTTATTCCTTAAGTATTTTAATGTGTTTCTGTGATTATCACTTTTAATTTCGTCTGTGATTTTTTTCAACTTAATCTGTGATTTATCTTTATTGCATCCACAACTTTCTGGGCAGATGCACTTGTAAAAATAAAAGCTTATGGACATTTCGAGCAATGGTAAAAACATTAAAAGTCAGCTGCATTATTATTATTACGAGAATCTTCCATCTTTATAAAACTCCTCATACATTCCTTTTTTAGTCTTGTTTAATATAAACAAGCCACATTTTATCACACTATCATAAAGTGAAAAATACAGCTGACATCCCTACACGCTTGTATATTGGTCCAAATAAGAGATAAAACTGAAGACCCCGGAAACGGCTAAACTATTTCCAGGGATCCATCAAATTTGTCGAAGAGTTGTTAATTTTCAAATAGGAAAACGTTATAAAATAAGTCCATCGGTTTTCCACAAAGTTACTAATTATTTATTAGTTATAAAATAATGAACAAGTTAGGTTTAGATATGTCTGGTGGGATAAAAACGTAAGGGAAAAAAATCTGAAGAAGCTGATCCATTTCTCACGGAAATAAAAATTGCAGTCCATAACAATATGGTGATACTAATACAAGAAATCGTAGAGATTGTAGGTCGTGTCTTCCAATTTAGGAAAATACAACAAATCGAAATGGAGTATGTAACGGATTGTTTACAAAGTGTCTTATATCGGTATATGATGTTGTTTAGTAAGTAAAGTGCTTCTGGCTCAACAATTAAAGCAAGCGAAACTTGAATTATTTATACTGCGACAGAGAGAACATGCTCGATCTCTTTTGACGTAGCTTTTTTTTTCAACATCAGCGTCGTCGGAGATAACAGATCCTAAAATATTTAATTCAATTTATGTTTGAAATATTTCTTTAAATAAAAATTTAATACCACTCGTAATTGTAAAATAAGCAACAGCCGCGTAATTTGCTCCAGCGACTATTAAATACCTAATCACAAACACTTAATCATAATTTTGTTGTTATTACCTTGCGTTTTGTAATACTAAAGGGTACAATTACAATTATTTCCTTTCGTAATGTTACACTGTTGCCCTGAGCGCAATATGACGGAGATATAGTGTTTACATTCGCAAATTATGCAAAAACACAAAAAGTAGTTATGTGGTAGAAATAGAAGCCCATAAAGGATTCCAACAGTTTCTTATATGAAAATAAATGAATTAATTTTATCATTCATATTTCCCGCAATTTAAACCGATTTTGGTATCAGTCCTAAATCGGCTCTTATTCTACATTCCTCAAAATTCACCAAAAATTTTTTATTAAATTAAAACCAAGCAGCATAAGTAGGTATTTGTAAAATTGTTCTTGATTAATTCTTCGAATATCGAATTACTGATTCGTGTTTACTTTTTGCTTTTTATCTCAGTTCCCACAAGTAGGAGTTGAAAAATGGAATTAAACACTTTTTTAAGAAGAGACGTCACGGAAATCCTTTTCTCTTTTAAGAAAGTCGCGCTGTAATACGTAAAATACTACAAAATACTTCCCTACATTTTCTAGATAAAATATTGTACCTTGTGGATAATCTTAATTAGTACTTTTAATTATTATTTTAGATACACGACTTTTGTTACTTTTTGCGTGATTAGGTCAAAATCGACCTGATTATAACCACATAATAAGCTAACGCGTGGTGAAATTCTAGTTATTGGTTTAAAAGAAAGTATCATTATTGATTGTAAAACTAAAGACAGTTTATAAGTACATATACAATATTCATAAATATTTCGCACTAATGTTTCGAATCAGTGCACAACATGATACATGTAGGAGTGTTCACATTATTAAACACATCAGTAAACCCTTGGGCCTGTCGCCTGTGGTTTGACAAATGCAACGCCGACGGTTCCCGGTTCTGTAATTCAATGCCTGCTCCCAGCTCGTTTACATTGTGTGTACAAGTCAGCAGCACATAAAACACGAAAATGTAAATATATTTCCGGCTCAGACAGGAGGCCATTCCAGGTCAATATTACGGTCAAACTTACATTCTACTTATTTAGAATTGTGGAGAACCAACAGCGCCGCGACGAAGAACTCTCTCCACTCCCGCACCCGTTTGTATGCGAAAACTTGCGTGCTGTGTTTCAGTAGCCAGTTCTAGAGTTATTTCATCAAACATGCAACGCAAAAATGTGGATACTCACTTACATAATGCATGTAGTAGGTACATTATGCAACCGTTTACCTCTTTTATCAGACATTCAAACACGAATGTGATTAACGTATAAAAAAATGTAGGCGCAAATAAAAGCAGATAATTAAAAAGGTTTTATGTAAATATTGCATGCATTAAACTGTACAAAAACTATTTTTGTGTATTATAAATCTGATACATCTTTTTAATAAAATAAAAAATTAATAATAATTAAATTATGCCTTTATCAGTCAGCAAAAGTGAGTACAGTTTTATCATTTAACGTAATTGAAAGTTCATGTTTCAAGAAAGTCAATATATACCAATATACATCGGCCATTTCTCATATTTCCGTCGACTGTTCACGAACTGTATCACTACATGTTTACCACGAAACGACATGATTGAATTTGTTCCATTAGAAGCACAGCGTCGGTTCAACGCTCCCCTTTGATTTATCTTTATTGCATCCACAACTTTCTGGGCAGATGCACTTGTAAAAATAAAAGCTTATGGACATTTCGAGCAATGGTAAAAACATTAAAAGTCAGCTGCATTATTATTATTACGAGAATCTTCCATCTTTATAAAACTCCTCATACATTCCTTTTTTAGTCTTGTTTAATATAAACAAGCCACATTTTATCACACTATCATAAAGTGAAAAATACAGCTGACATCCCTACACGCTTGTATATTGGTCCAAATAAGAGATAAAACTGAAGACCCCGGAAACGGCTAAACTATTTCCAGGGATCCATCAAATTTGTCGAAGAGTTGTTAATTTTCAAATAGGAAAACGTTATAAAATAAGTCCATCGGTTTTCCACAAAGAAGGAGACAAGCGAGCAGAGTTTAAATACTTATATTGTGTTCATATTTTATATATCGTTTTTTCTAAGCCCTGGAGATTTCGTTTGTTGTTTATTTATGTAAAAAGTAAACTCTACTTTACTGGCATTATTAAATTATAAAACTGTTCCCTTTCTAACTTTAACTTGTCAGAGGTAACTGTAGACTGTAAACTTATACTTAAACCTATGTCATCACCCCTTAAAATAACAGTGATCTATGTTTAATGGTTTATATTTAATTATGATAGTCATGAGAAGACAGATCATTTTCAAAGCTGTGCATATTGTATATATATAGGAATAAATAGACTCGTTAAGAATTCAGAATAACTAATGCGCATTCACATGTTTATGATTAATTATGGAAATAATTTGTCTATTGTGGTATAATTGCTACATACTTTTTTTGTTTTTAGCAAATGAAGATTTACAAGCACAAGTTAGCTGCCAGATTTGGTCTGATGCATATGATCGGTACAAATCTATCCGTATGGTTGAACGTTTTAGTTCAAGAGACCAAACATGAAATCCTGACGTTCTACAATCCTGAGAACAATTCCTTAAGAATTTCTCATCGATTGGCTTTCAAAAACAACATATTTCAATTTCCTCACATGTCACAGCCCGACAATGTCACTGATAATAATAAGCATCATATAGTCGCCAGAGGGTTGAAAGGACCCCATCGGATATACGAATGTAGAAGAACGAACGTCCTGGGAACGTTAGTACAAGATGCGTCTCCTTTCTTGTTCCCTTGTACCATTGAATACAGCTTAATATGTGCCGCCATCCTGTACGTCATGTGGAAATCCATTTCGAAACTTCCCATCCCCAATATGAACGGGGAAAAAAAGAAGCTGGAGCACGCTTACAGGAGAAGTCCTCATCACTATTCCGTCGATTGTGCAAGGGCCCATAAAGGTTTATTCGTTGGTATTTTACTTCTAGTTATGACCATAATTTCCCTTATTTTGTTCTTTGTTTTAATATCGCGACAGGAGTTCGCAGCTGTGGCACTTATTGAGGTCAATATTTGCGAGCTGACCCTTTACGGAATGGCCTTCTTGGCCACGTTGATAGGCATGTGGCAGATACGTCAACTCAAATACGACGGCAGTCGTAATCTTCAATTAGACAATATTTTACTTGTGGGGGCGCAAACGGGGATGTTTATTTACAGCATGTTTACCATCATCGGGGGTCAATTTACGATAGAGAAAAACACAATACTCACCCTAATAACGGCTTTGGCGTCCGTTCTCCAAACAACCTGCCAAACTATTTTTATTCTCGACGCTTCGAGACGATCTTGCGTGACGCCAGATCAAATTCGGAAGAAACCGGGGAGGGAAATTGTCACATTCTTATTGGTGACGAATTTGGCGATGTGGGCCCTAAACACGTTAGAAAAGTCTAGGGCAGATTCCCATCCGATTCAATTACATTTCTACGGCCTTTGGGCATGGACGATTATTACACACGTTTCCATGCCGTTGGCAATTTTCTATCGATTCCATTCCACTGTATGCCTTTGCGAAATTTGGAAGAGGGCGTACAAAATTAAACCGACGTACATGTAGGGGTTAGCAATCGAATGTGGCATTAGTTGCCACATGTGATAATTACCAAAGATCGGCGATTGTAGTGTTGCCCAAACGCAAGAACAAGACGAGACTTAGCCAGTCTTGGTCTTGGTCTTGCGCCAATACACCTGGTCTTGGTCTTGGTCTTGGTCTTGCGCTCCCAGTCTTGGTCTTGGTCTTGGTCTTGCAGCAAGAGTCTTGCAAGTCTTGCAATTACCTATTAGTCTATTACTATTTATTAAAGTTTACTTTAAATCCTAGAAAAACGTATTAGAATTGGAACATTGTGAGCTTGAATGAATATAGCCATAGTAAAGATCAAGCAGATTAATAAATAACTGAAGATTTGATAAGAAATTCGAAAAATCAACTGACCTATATGTCGTTTTCCATGGAAGTAACTGTTTCTTAATAAACATTTATGATCCTTGCTTTCTACCGCGCCGCCTCGCCACGTGCCGGCTCTATGATAAGGATGCCGCCGCAAATCAAACAATAATATAAAGCGTGTAAAAAAATTCGAAATTATTTTGCATGAGTATACCTACACCCTATGGCGGCAATCAAATAGTGTCAAATGTTATGATTTCGGCGTGGCGGCAACGATTGTTTTAGATTTCAAAAGAAGCCGCCGGCGCGTGTATCATAACCATGTACTTCCGAAAAGCGGCAAATTTCTTTGAGAAGTAAGTACAAAACCTTTGATGCCGCATTATCAAAGTGCCGATGGTTAAAACATAACTATGCATGCACTCAGTTTGATTTTAATAATTTTTTTATTCGCTATGTTTATGGTATTAGTCGTAATGCGCATAGGTCCA